CATTGGGATGACCGTTATGTGGAACAAGTCATGGCAGGAGTTAATAGAATTACAACAAAACTTTGCCAAAAACAAAAGAGGTATCATATGGATGCCCTCTGGGTAAACCAAATGTTACAAACAAATTTATTAAATCATCAAGCAATAGCTCATCAAAATCACAATCATCAATGAGCTATAATAGTTTAACCTGGAAAGAAGTTATTCCATACTCGTCTAAGTTTTCAGAAGATATTCGCGAATTGCAAAAGACGATACAAAGCTATGGTGAAAAGCAATTGCTTGTACCAAACAAGGTACACCAGATTTGTATGGTGAAAAGCAATTGCTTGTACCAAACAAGGTACACCAGACGCTAACCAAACTTGAAGAACTAATGAAGAGTCAAAATGATACATTAGAAATCCTTATTGACATTCAAAAGCGAGTTAAAACTCTAGAAGATAGGCCGAGTTCTTCTGGAGGACGAAGAAAAGTAACCTTCGGAACAGTACCTCTATTACACCAAAAGGGTAAACCCACCGAAGTTCGAAGGCCTATGACAGAGGACGAAAAGATGAGAGCCATCTTAAAAGGAAAATTCACTAACAAATAATGGAAAGAGTGAATTTGGAGGATCTACATGACCTTGCAGAATCCTTTGCAGGTCTGGGCCTAGTAGACTTAAAAATGAATACGGGAGATGGTTCAACGATAGTAACTAGGTCCCAACCACCTCCTGGAGGAGAAAGTTCGGGTTCTCACCAACCTGAGGAACAACATATGCCCCATCAAGGGGATTTTTAGGTTCGGGGAGAAAGCGGGCATCCGGCGGGTACCCGAATGCGTTCCCGAAGGCCTAACCTTCAAAATACCCCTTATGGGAAATCGCAACTAGATCCAATTCATCCTTATGGGTTAATGTTGAATCTAGATACCTTAGATTTTAAAAATCGGGAGATCCTTATCGATGATTGGACCTCTGCAATGAGAATTGCTGGAGGGACATTGGATCTCAACAAAGAAGGGTTCATTTCACTTCTTGAAATGAGCCTAGAAGGTTCAGTTAAAATTGCATGGGATATGGCTTCTCCAGACGTAAAAGGAGATGTCATTGCTGGAGAATCATTAAAAGGAATAGTCGATAATATGGCAAGAGTATTTAAGATCTTATTTATCGGCACAGGATATTTTGAAGGAGTAGAGGAAGAAAAACAAAAGAGATATAAACAAGCCCTCTATTGTTTAGAATTACATGATATTTGTCATGTAGATGAATATATCAAGTTATTCACGGAGTATAGATGGAAGGCCAAGGTAGCAGATTCTGAAGCCTCTCAATTGTTCTTTGCAAAGATACCCAGTCCATGG